CAAGTCTGCTCCTGGCCACCAGCTCTTAGTCCTTCTCTTCTTAGTCCATGAATCTGGACTCCTCAGCAGCTCCCTCTCTCCATGCCCCCATCTCTGCCTCCATCTCTGGCGCTGCTGCTTCTCTGGATAAGGTCCCACATTCTGCTTGTGCATTCCTCTCTTGATGGTCCTAGTGTCCCCTGTTTCTGGACTATAAAATTAACCACTCCCCTTTTTTTGTTACAAAACTTCCCTGTCTCTTTTCACCAGACCCATCTAGATAAGATGAAAACTATTCAGTGGGGACTCTTTCTTCCCCAAACACTAATAAAGCTCTCCCTTGAAACTTTGTAAGCCAGTCACTTCGTGTCTGTATCACCTCCTCATTTTAGGTAGCCAGTGTCTTAGTTGCCCATCCCTATCTACCCTGTATACAGAGGGGATAGCCAGTTGTTTCTCTTTGTATACAAATTTCCTATGTCTGTACATATACTAGTGCTGAGGGCTAAGCATTGTTGGTGGTTCAAAACCACCAGCCACTTTGTAGAAGAAAGATGAGACTGTCTGCTCTGCTTCCATAAAGATGTCCCATCTTAGAAACCATAGCAGTTCTATCTACTCAACCTATAGGGTTGCTAAGAATCAGAATCGACTCACGGCAGTGGGCTTGATTTTATTTGGTACATCTACATATCTATTGCTGAACATATATTTTATATCTTTTAAAAGATTATCTTTTTATTTTTTTAGTTTTCATTGTAAGTTGGGTGATAGTTTACATGGGAGAACATCAGCTTTACATTCATCCTGTTGTATTTTGTTTCATTGCAATGATTATAGTCCCCTCCATGCATCATCATTCAACAGTATTTGCTTCCATCACTCCCTCTGTTGTTTTTTTTTGGATGTACACTGAAGCGCTCAGGAATATACAACTGTTTAAACAACCAAAGGGCACACTCTGCAAGGTCCACTCCCCACCAGCCATCAGCACACAGCCCTTCTTCCTCCCTGAGTCCAGGGTCCCCAGCTGCTCTCTCTCTCCATGTCATTGTCTCTGCCTCCATCTCTGGTGTCACTGCTTCTCTAGATAGGGTCCCACACTCTGCTCTTCTCCCTTGATGGTCCCACGGTCCTCCACTCCTGGACTGAAAAGTCAACCACTCCCCTCCTTTTGTTTTAAAATGTCTACCTTTACATTTGCAACAATCAGTCCTGATAGCAATT